TCCTTGGCATGCACGAGCAGGATAAACCTGAAAAATTCCCCTGCACACTAACACCCAGATAAAAATATTTCACTTACAAAAATCAACAAAAATAAGGTATGACAGTCCCCGGCAGCGGCGCCAAAAACTTGATAGGGCAAAAGCGTAATGCTTCAATTCCTATCTTGTAGTAAAACCGGAAATCCGGGTATCGTCTCTCAGGGACTGGTACAACCTTATATTCTATCAATTCTATGGAGCAAACTATAGGTGAAAATGGTTTGAGTGATGAAACTATTATCTAATGGAAAAATGATTAAACAAAATAAGCAAAGTAAAGTTGTCGTGAGAAATTGAATGGGAGAAAGATCTGGGAGAAACACCGGGACTCGCTACCTATCATATCAAAATTAATTCACATATTCCAATCATTTAATCCATATCTCTACAGCCAGGATATCACTACTGTGCTAGCTATCCCTGTCGGGAATTACTACGTACTAAACAATTAATTCAAATCCTACTGTCGTAGCTCAATGAATTAACTATTTGGCATGAAGAACGATATCCCAATCAAGACCGCATAGTACCTTATTTAATCCACTGTCGCTTCGATAAGTTACTTTGTCACATGAAATATGTTCAGTCATTAGGGTTTCACTGTCGCTAATAACATAATTAACTACACATCAATGTATTGGTGGCCAGTCAACACAAAGCATTAAGTAATTTCATGCAATAGAGATTGGAAGAAAAGAGATATGAATTAATCCATCAAGTCTAGAAATAGCTACATCCTATGGTGTTTCCCCAAGAAAGTGGGGTTTAGTTCATGACGAAATCAAAAGATATAATCATGTTCATAATAATCATGTCACAAATCAAAACAAAAGGAAAAGAGTATTGAGATTTTCTTCCCCGCTGCTCTGATCGCGATCCCCGCAAAGCTTCTCTGTGCGGCGATGACGCGCTGTGCCGCTTCTCCGCGCTCCTGCTCGCTGCCTCCAGTCCCAATTTTTCTCGCCTCCCAAGAAATTCCGTCCGTCCCATGCTTGCTTGTCCGAAATAATTAATTGCCTCCCTCTGCTAAAAGAATTCCCAAAAAGAATCCCCCTCCAAAGAATTCATTCCGTCCCAAAAATAAATGCCACCCTTTGCCCTCGTTCCCATCTTTTCCAAGCCTCCTCTCTGGCCCATTTCTTTTTCCGAGCATTTTCTCTTCAAGGCCGTCAGCTCCCCCAAGTAATAGGCCCGGCCCAAAAAAAATCTATGTCAAGGGACTCCGGGCCATAATTTTCTAGCCCAGTCGAGTCACTTCCGGCTCGCTGCTCCTCATAGCCCAAGTGAGTATTCCACCAGTGATTCGAGCCCGATTGATTGCTTCTGCACTCGCTTCTTTTTCGTGTTTTCTCCACCTGTAACATATCAAACTCATAGCACTAGGCAGTAATGGTTTTTCAACCATTCCCGGGTTAGCGAGCCCTAAAATAGCACCAATTGGCTTAAATATATCATGGGATAATGGAGTATTTCTCCTGTTTAATTATCCGTGTGAATGACACATACAAATTATACAATTATCAAAGATCCTCATTTTCCTTACTTGTTCACTGTGACAATGGAGTATTTCTCCTGTTTAATTATCCGTGTGAATGACACATACAAATTATACAATTATCAAACTATTGGTCGAGGCTAGTCTACATCTACACTACTTATAGTACATTTTAAAGAGTTTGATTTGCTCCATTTCAAATTTCCTGCAACGAGAGTGAAAGTAGGAAGGGTATTTTCGTCTACACAATCAATTTTTAATTTCATATAAAAAGATATCAATACTAGGATTTGAACCATGGTTTCTTCCACCAAAGACAAGAATTGTAACCAATTAGACTAGACACATTTGTTTTACTTTATTAATACAAAACATAGAGGAAGTTAAAATTATAAAAAACAAAGTACTTTTCTATCACGGTTAGTTAGCCCGCTAAGTCTACTGTAAGTATTTTGTGGTGTTTGATACTTCTATTTTCATATGTTAATAATTAATTTAGAATTTTTTCTAACTTACAAATGAAGGGTAATCTTAAAATCTCAACACAAATATCATTGGTTTGAATATTGCGCATTGAATTGAAGTGTTGAATGAAGTGTTCAATGACGACATAAGAACACTGGTACCATACATTTCAAGAAATATAAACATGACAAAAAATTGTTTAATTGTTCAATTTGAATGATAGTTTAGTCAAATCAAACAAATAATTCACGATTGTGTATGAATAAAAATAAAAACATATTATTGTCTTATGAAAAATATATTTATTTTAACCATCTAAAAAAACAATCAAAACTTCCATACGACCCCTTATTTCAATAATGTAATTAATAAAATAATTTTTATAAGCATGATGCAATGTTCAAGCTAAGGTCCAAGTATTAATTACCAGTATAGTATTCATCATAGTTAACTATTTCAATATCCACAAATAACTATTAATGGTTACTTGCTTTCTCTTAGAGAGTTTAATGTATCACTCTCATGCCTAGCTATGCTCTAAGTATTTGTTTTCTTTTTCACAATATCATTTGCAGTTTTTTATTAAATCAACTTTGTTTCTAGCTTTCAATTCCTAATTATTCACTTCTTCATACCAACTTATGGGAATGCTAAATATATTTTTCATGTCTAATCTATTAAACATAAATGTTGCTTATCACTTAAATTCAATGCTATCCATGTTAGGTTTGAAATCACCAACATATTCTCCCAATTTCTCCAAAAAGCATAATATCTTGTGATTGATATCATAGTTTCGTTAGGTAAAGTTCAACAAACTCAATCAATATTCGAACTCTTCGAAATAACTATCTACATGCAAATATGAAGTACTGAGTAGCTAAAACTCTACTTGAGTTAGTACAATCTTTTGCGCTATCGATTTTAAATTCAATATGATTATCTTATTACAATTTAGTCATACTAATTGTGCAGTAGGAGACATCTTATCAAAATCTTAAAGAAAGACTCTTTGACCGATCGCTTTCTTGATGTAATCAATTATACCAAAAATAGAAGTTATCAAATTTATAAGATGCACTCAAAGTTTGCTATAATTATTGAGGTTCAGCAGCACGTTAGGCGTACGGCGGTCATTGGACATTTGTCTATCTCCTAGCTGGCCTAGACATGTTTAGACATTATAATAAAAATAGCAATTTTAATAATAATGAATAAAATAACGGTTCTAAAGCACTTTCATACTTTAGTTCAAATGATTTAACAACAAACGAAATAACTCTCAAGTTTATAAATTATTTTCTTTTACCAAATGATATAATTAATTCATTTGTGAGTTGCAATAGCTAATTATAAGCACTTCAAATTTAAGTTAAAACTCTATATGATGCAATTGTTTGACGAAATGGGTTCTATAATAGAGTGGTTCTATCGAGAGAGGTCTCTAAGAAACATGACTTACTTTATTAAATCTTAGGTGGATATAATATCTATCTTCACCGTTACTTTTACATTAGATTCAATTTATTATACTTTTTCATTTAGATAGTTTTTTTTATGATGTTCTGGGATGTGATATATCATTATATATGATGGTGTAGGATATTAATTCCTCTCATTTTAGGTTCAAATTGATGGATTTCCCCTTTTATCGTTTCCTTTTATTGGTTAATAATTTTTATGATATTTTTACTTTGAAATATCGTGAGCGGAATCTATACACAACAATTTGTGTTTTTCCGCTTCCTCTTCTCTTGATTAGATATTGTGTCCATATTGATTCATATATTGATTATCGAATTACTACTTTTATTGTTCTTTTTTCTTATGCAAGATATGATTTTATGTTTGATAATATAGATTTATTTTTCAAGCATGTGGATGCTTGAGACTTTTCATTTGCTTCATAACATACATTTTACAGTGGCTCCAAACTCGGATGGGTTTCTATTCAACACGTACATTTTTAATGATGTAAAATTTATGAAACTAAGATGCATATTAATAAACAATGTAAGGTCTCATCTTCCCTCTTAGCACTACATATCATTGTTTACTTACCATTAAATCAAAGTCTTTCTAATTGGAGTAAGAGCTACAATGACTTTTATTAACTTTCACTACTCATATATCACAAGTGTTCAGATCATTATCAAGTGTTCATACAATGACTTTTATTGTTGTGGATTTCCCCCAAAATGTTAGGTATGTTGTTTTTAGTTTTTGCCTTCTTTTTGCTTTGATTTAGCTTTTTATGTGTTGCTCTATTAGTTGAACTTGTCAGCTGGACATCTGCATGCTTTGTTTCATTATATCATTGAATACACAAAAGTCAATGGAACCATGAGTGTGTCAGTTAGTTTGTTTCTTTTTAAGGACACTCTAAACATATACTTTGTTTCATTGTATCATTGAAAACACGAAATTTAATGGAAAAAGGAAAAAAATATAGTATACTGAAGATTGATTATGTATATCATATATGTGATGTAAAACAACTCTTATCATTATTCTTCTAAGACATTTTTATATAGATACGACTTTGTTTTAAAATATGTATTTATGTTAGTATAGTTGGACGTTGTTTTTCATTTTTTAAACTTCATTAGTCAAATACATTAAATAATTTCCTATATTATTCATAGAGAACTTACTAAATTAAATAGTTACTTCAATCCCCAACAACATGAACCATAAAAAAATATATATCTCAATGTTTACTACACATAGACATGAAAACCAAACTCTCCCGGCCAAGAGGCCGGGCCCTAATCTGAGTTAATTAAAGTATAGATTTGCCGAAAGAAGTATGAAATTGGCACTGTGGGCCTAACCCACTTTCATGACTGTAGAAAAGAGTCCAACGGTGATCGTGGCCTGCTTGCGAAATAATAAAGTGACGCATCCATCGGCCGGTCAGAGACGAAGAAGTTTACTCTAGGGTAGGGTTTTCGAGGCTGAATATAATCAATATATACGCCTCTCTATTGGGAGCCACGCCAGCCTGTTTCTCTCGCTTCCTCGTCAGGTCCGTTTAATTGCTTCTCTCATCCGCAGAGCTTCGATCTGGTCTCTCTCATGTTCCTATAGTGTTTTGGTTCGTTTATCGGTAGATCTTCACGAGTGACATGATTTCAGTAGCTGTTGTGTTCTTCGCCTTTTCGTTCTGTTTTGTGCCTTGACAAACCGCTTTGCAGAGTCAATTGGATTCTCCGTTTGTTTGTCTTTCTCTTGGTTTAGTCTGATTGTCGATTTTGCGAATTGTTTTCTCGGATCTTTGTTTGTGCGATTCTCTGGGTGATGATTATGATTAAGTTAGTGAAATGATATAAAAGCTTGAACATGAATTTCGGGTATCTGTATCCCCACCCAAAGATCGAATCTGGTGTCAAATTGGACCCTCTTCAATCCGGAGGGAGAAATCAATCTTAACTCCCCGATCTGATAGAATCTTTTTTTGTTTTTGCAGTTGCGGCTGTGTAATCTTATAGCAGTAATTAGCTTCTAAAAGGACTAGGCAAAATGGTAACTTTTCTCATAACTATCTATTATTCTGTTTACAATTCTTTGTTTCAACAGCATATCGTTGTTGATAATGTCACGTCTCAATTCCTTCAGTTGGTGGTTCCATGTCGTACCCAAGTACACAGTTTCCATCTCCCTTGTAAACCGAAGAAACCGGAAAAGAAAGAATCAAGCAACGACATTATGTGCGAATGTGGACGACTTGCAGTTGTGAGAATATCACGCACAACCCTAAATCCTAATAGGAAGTTCTTCTGTTGCGCTAAACGCGGTTCAAAACAGGTATATTTATTTATTTTTGTGTCTTTTTCACAACTTTTCAAGTTTCTCGGTTTATGGTGGGTAACAAATCCTGTGACCAGTTGAATAGTTTCGTGTTTTTTTTTTTCCGAGTTGTGTGCGATATTTTCTATTACTTTTGAAGGTGGACAAAGGATGTGGACTCTTTGAATGGTTTGATATACGAATGGCAATTGAAAAAGAGAGACATAGGTTGGATGCTCTAATTAGATTTCTGGAGGCGGAGAAAGTATATTTGAAAGAAAAAAATGGATTACTCATTGAAGCTAACAAGAATCTTCGGAAATCAGTTGCCCAAATGTTGCCGCTGAGGTTGTTATTTGTAATGCTTTGTCTACGGATTCCATGAGCCGCTGAGCTTTTCGTTTATTTGTTGCGTTGTTGAATGCGATGCATTAGAATTATCTGCTTCGGTGAACATAGATGACGAAAGCCCCCCATCAATTCATAATGTCGATGTCCTAAGTTTGACGGTGTCTTGGAAATGGTTGAAATTGGATGTGGAACAACTTCCATACCTCTTATTTCTAAGTAAGCCTATACCATGCATAATCCCAACTAGGGTTATGGACCCCCTTCCCATCCCTTCCTCGACAAAAGGTTCATTATATAAGCTCTAACCAAGCAACCATCGTCTCCCTTCACAATGTCCCTAGTTGTTGTCATGGTTAGAGGAGAGTCAACGACTGAGCCACTGGTATTGAGACATGTCTCCCTCGGCTCTGGTGGTCTCCATCGAATCATACATCACTCTTTTTGTCTTACCTCTCCTTCTCGTTAACAAGTAAGACGTGCTACTTGAGCTATTTGACATTAGGTCTGCAAACGAGTCAAATTTTCATTAGCTCAAACTCAACTCGTTATAAAATAAGTTGAGCTCGAACTCTACTCTCTTCATAAAACTTTGGCTTAAACTTGACACGACCTTATTTTGAGCTCGGCTCATTAATGAGCTGGAAAGCTCTATTCAACCTCAGTTTGTCAATCAACTCATAAGTTCGGATCGAGTTTTGTTCATTTATAAGTATAGACGGTTGAATAGGTAAACTAATTCATATCATGTTGTTTGATAACTCATAGTAATTAATATCCAATTAACGTGTAACATGTAATTTCTATTTCATTATTATATATGAGACATATTTAATATTCCATCATACATTTAAGGCTTAAATGATCATATATTATGAGATACTAGATTTGAACCCGGCCCGTTGGCCGGATATACTTTATCAATGATATAAACAACAATAGTAACTTTTTCAATTTGCTACCATAAGATAATCCAAAAATTAAATTATTGGGGGAAAAATAATAACATGAATCATAAATTTAAAATTTTCCGACATCCTAACTGATTCATCAACTACCATCCGTATCAAAAGTTATAATAAGTCATGCAAGGTAATCAACTCCCGAAAAACGTGCTCAAATCATACTTTGATTAGAAATTACTGCATATTTTCTTTTGGACTTTCCGAGTGCTTCATCATTATCATTATCTTCCCCACCAATTACAGTACCTTCATCTCCATTAATAACACCTATATTTCCAATATTAATATTGCATTATTGTTTTCTTGTATTTAAATAATCTCTTCGCTCTTCTACTGAATTTCATTGAAAACTAAATTTAACGATGAATATTTTACAAATATGAAACATATTGATATTACCTCTTTCAAATACGAATGTTGTCTGAGATTTGCTCCTTGCCAATATTTTATATTTCTATTTCCATAGTTAATTGTCTATACTTTCTTCTCAACAAAATCATTATCTCCATCAATGAATGCACTATCTCCACCATTAGAATACTCCATTTTCTTCTCCAATGTTTCAATGAAAACTAGAACTTAATGATAAAATATTTACAAATGTGAAATACCATTTTGGTTAAGTTAAAAAAAATCTTCCTAAAATATTTCATACGGTTTTTGTTCTCATTACAAATTACAACATCACATGCACATATAAACTTTAGTCTAATCTATATCTATCTATCTATCTATCTATCTATCTATCTATCTATCTATCTATACTAAATATTATGGCTATTCAAAAATAACTTCTTGCCACATAAGCACTTGGTGAATGCACAAGTTGCCAAGGTGGACAATTTTTTTCAAACAAAAAACTATTTATTGATCTATTTGTGAAGTTGTCTCTCTCTTCTTTTAATAATTCTACTCATTTTTACTAAAATTAAAATATATTAATTTTTTAGGAAACATTTAAACAAAAAACACACACCTAAGTAATAAAAAAAATTCGATTAAACAAACTATAAAGATGGAAACAAAGAGTGACATATATTGTATTTGTTTAACCCAAGCTGATTAAATCTGATTAAGTAAATTTTCTACTCATTTTTACTAAAACTTAATAATAAGTTACATTTTGATGAAGAAAAAAAAAACAAGCACACGCATAAATATTTATATTTTTCAATACAAAATATAAACGATAATCTAATAGAAAATAAACGTTTGACAATCAATCGACTTTGAGAAATGAACGATATGACTATATGTTTTTGCTATCAAACACTCACTTCCTTCTTATGTATATACCTATCATATAAAACAAGTATAAATTATATAGCAAAATGTCTTAATATAAACTTGACAGAGCAATAATTGTTATTTTTTTAAAAAATTCTTATTCATTTTGATTAAATGAAAACATATTAATTATTAATGCAAACTTTTAATTTGTTTCTATCCCTTTCCCCATTTTGATTGTCTCTTTAGAAATAAAATCCAACATTGAAAATAAGAAATCAAGAAAGTATGTCAACCACCATAAAAATAAACAAAGCCCTCTTATTAGTTGCTAATTTTTTAGAGATTTCTAATATTTGTATTCTCATAATTTATAGAGAAGGAAATGGTAATGCATACGATTTTTTTTCTTTGTATGAGAATAGGAGGCAGAAATTACACGAGACAACGATAAGATGACAAAATTTTGAGCAGTTGTAACATATTTTTGCCTGTTGACGAAAAAGTTAATATGATCATTGAGAAAATGAGGTGAACCAAGGCGAGGGTTGTCGACTGCTCCCTCTTCCTCCTTGATCTAAAGCTGGCAACTGGTCTCACTTTCTCAGCGATATGTTATTGTTTGCGGTTGACTGGCCGAATTATACTCTTTTTCCCATTCTTTTCTTAATTTCTTCCAAATTACGACTGCTGGATGGTAAATTTTCCCACTCTCGATGAGTGAATATATTTCTTCTTTGTTTCTTATTGAGAAGGGTCGCCATATACTTTCATGTATATAAAATATAATTAGAAGGGTTAATTGGTTGGACTTAGGGCATACCTCCTTTGGTTGAATAATTGATCGTTTTTCTTGAATGCCTATTGCAACCCGAGAGTTGTGATGATTGTTTATTATATTTTATGTTCATGATTGACATGCTACTACTAGCTAGCTATACAATGATGATCTGGTTAGTAATAAGTAGGTAGCAAAGGGGTTATAAGTAGAAGGGAACATAATTGGGGTTTTATAAAGGTCGCAAAGAAGAAAGAAAATGATAATGGTGGTTTCTCGGTTGTCTATTTCGATGATTTTTTAATTTCTACATGTTTGCGGTGACATTTGTTTGTTTCATTAATGTGAATTTTTCTGCATTAAATCCCTAACTAAAGATTGATTTTGACATGATTGTTTTCTTACAAACTACTATTTGGATTGATGCATATATTCAATTCACAAATGAGGAATCTGAATGATAATATGAATTGAGTTGTATTGAAGACTGCTCCTTTCATTATTTGTCTATGTTGTTATTTGGTAATAAAGCACAATTCTTTTCTGCAGGAGATATGTAGCTCTCTACAAAATATAAATTATGTTTAATTATATGTAGTTTAATTTGCTGAAAATATTGTTTTAATAAGTTAGTGACAGCTGATAGTTTTGTTTGTGGTTGGTTTTGCTAGAACATTTCAAGGTAATTAAACAAGTACGTGGAAGATAGATGGACGTGGATTCTAATGAGTTTCCTCATTATTCCAAAATTGTATGTGTAAGTGATAATACATGATATTCATGGGATTTAGAACGGAATATTCTCTATTATCGTATACCGACATATGAGAAGGGAGAGAAAATAAAAAGCTCTTCGCTTATTTTTTTTTAATTAATTGAAGCACATTTTCTTATTCTAAATTCTTCTTTTGTGGCCGTAAGTTTTTTAACTTCTTTATCACAATTCTGTGCTAAAGAATGAATAATCTCTTATGTTTATAATCATAAAGGGCGAGTTCGATAAAAAAAAATCTAAATCAATAAAGAACCATCTACAAAGAGCTCAGTTAATAAAATTAAAATGTTCATAAATAAACAAAAGGTATAAAAGTATGAAATAATACCTGAAATAATGTAAGTGGGATTTACAATTCCATGTATATTACCTTAGCAAACATAAATAATAATAACAATTAGAATACTATAACGAATTGTAAAACAACCAAACAAAATACACCGCCCACAGGTGAAAAACTAGTTACTCAATTAAACATTTACATACCAAATGAATTCCAATTCCATATCACTTAAAACAAAACAAATGAATTCCATAAGTTCTTAAGAATTCATTTTGAAATGAAATTTTTTTTTGGAATATAAAAGAATTCATTTTGAATTCTAAATTTTGAATTCTGGGAAATTTATGCTAGTTCTAGCAATTTTGAGGAATCGAAGTGGAATATCCAAATAAATTCCACAAATATTTTAATAATTTTGATAAAATGACATAAGTATTCTCAAATATCAAATAAATTGACCATGTATCAATTTAGCGCCAATACTCCATATTTGTACGCCTAACCTTCCTTTCTCAGTAGCTAGCCCACTACTTAGCCTATATATAACCATGAGGAGACCAATATTTTTGGCTTAGGTGAAAAAGGAGTTACAATGAATGTTTCAAAAGATGAATTTTCATATTTTTTACTTTTTTGAGGAACTTTATTGTTTTTCACCTGGTTGGATTGGTTAGATGATAACTTTGGCACTTGTGTTCTTAAAAGATAGGTTTTCAATGAGTAAAAGCAATGTTATTTTTGTTGAAAATTGATAAGGGTATAGTTGGAGATTTTAATTTAATTAAAGTATGAACGTATTCCAAACAGGATTTGGAATTCAATTTAACTTATTTCAACATATTTGATTATAATATTCCAAATATAGTAATTCATTTGACAATTGAATTCTACGTAAGATTTCATTTTAGAATGAAATGAACTCTCAATTCATTTTATTCCAAACAATCCAGTAAAATGTATTTGAATGGGCTTGAACATAGATGTTTGCTTTTTAACAAATATTCATATTTCTTATTGGGGCATGCCCGTGATGATTTGTTCAAACTCTAAAAACTTTGTGTGAAAAACATTGATTGAGTTGTTGATAAATAATTAGCTCCATCATTATAGTTAATTTGTGTGGCTTAAAGGCTTAAGTCTTGTCCATCTCCATTCTCCATTATCAAAAATAAAAAAGCTTGTCCATCTCATTGTGAGAATTATTTAAGAGACTCCATATATAAGTTTTAATTAGAGCTGAGAATGGCCGAAGCCGTATCGAAATCCATTTGATTAGCACAATATTTTTCTGATAAGTATTTATTCAAAAATAAAATGCTAAAACTGTATACTAAAAATAGAAACATGGTTATCCAATAAAAGCCGAGCCCAACATTGAAGTTATTTTCCCTCAGCGGAATAGATGAGAAGCGTTTATAAAAACAAAATAAAAAGGTAAAAGACTTATGCATCATTCCGTGAGATGCGCTCAGGACTGCAATTTGGGTTTTAAACCCCTTGTCACGCAGAATCCCCTTATGATATACTCAAGTTGTAAGATACTCTGTTGGTTGTACTAATGTTGTAAGATACTAT